TGTCTTTGGTAAAACCATGAACAGAAGAATGTGCCAAACAAAGAAAAGTAGGAATACAATGACATATTGCTAAGAAACCATGAGTGAAACATCAAATGAGGGGCATACACATTCCACAAGGATAGCACCACGGCCAATAATACGATGGCTCATCATTTAGTAGGATGTTCAAGACTCTATTCCTGACTGAGGGACCACTGAAAATGGAAGTCGGAGCGAAAACAAACCAACAGACAAACCCACCACCATCCTATATACTTTTAGCATCCACAAGTGTGGAAAATGAACATTCATTAAACATTTAACAAACGACTTCCCCAGTCTTCCCCCATGTCACAATGACATATGTCACAAATGTCCTGTAGCTGACTAGGTCGAAAAGCCTCGAGCTCTGTATTCCCCTCGGAATCGGCACAATCAGCTCTTGGAGTGGCGTCTTGACCACACACTTTCTACTTTTGGACCATGGGACGCAGCCTACACAGAGCACCTACACTGGTGTCATTTAAACATGTCCATGGTCAGAAAACAGCCTTCCCCTGGTTTCCATCCCTCAGCAGCACCCCACTGCACACAAAATCTCCCTGTGAAGACCTTCAAGACTCTCTGTGCTTCACCCCCACCTGCATTTCTGAGCCATCCCCTTCGCATGAGCTCTCCCATCGCACGACCCGCTGCTGTTCCTCACAGGCCAGCAGGCTTCAAAAGCTGCTTTTCCAAAGGCTCCTCGCCAAACTTTGCAAAGTTAGTCCCTTCCCTTCTTAAGCTGCTCTGCACTGGGTGCCTCGTTTTATTTTCTCGGGCACTTATTATTTGAAATGATCTCTGTGTACTCTTTCTGCTCCTTTATTGCCTATAAATGTCAGGGAAATGTAAGCTAATGAGAAAGAACCAGGCTCCGTTATAAAAACATTGCCGTACAGATGATTACATGAACTAGAATGCCGATATGAAGTACTCCAAAGAAGTCATAAAATCCATATAAAAACTGCATCTATTTGATTTGCTTCTGATAATTCCTGACAGGCATCAAGCATCAATCCACTCTTGCATGAATGATTAAGAGAATAGCAGTACATACTCCCCGTGACGAGATGAACATTCCATCCCACCAAACCCAAGGGCTTGAAACACTAGAAATTACTTTTATGGAGAGTTGTGTCATACAGAGTATTTAAAGCAGCAACTGTCTTGAGGGACGGCATCCTCACCTCTGACATCCTCACCTCCACAGCCAATTGCCAAACACTGAATCAAAGGGGCTTGATGTTTGCAACAGACTAGGTGTTTCCTGATGCCAAGAGACAGGCAGCAGATGTCAGAATGATAAAAAAGAGGCAGGGAGGAAGCAACTTCCGCAGGAAACTGTGGGGAGGCCCTGGTCCCTCAGGCAGAAAGAACATGGGCCATCAGAGTCTACAACAGAAGGACCCCACCAGCCGGGTACTGCAAAGAAGCCTGCCTACCACATGGCTAGAACCTCTCGCCCTAGGAACTGCAAGAGACATTACATAGAGCTAATGATGAAATACTAAATGCTAAGGATTTCCTTGAATTTCGTTTTGTTGTTCTGGGACTTAGAAGCCATCTGCCTCTGATGTTGGGCAAGACAAATGACTGTAGGTGACCACACAACCGTGGCCACCGTGTGCTGTTTGGAGATGATAATTCAAGAGTGCCCAAGTTAATGAGAGAGAGCCAGGTCCTGTCACAAACACCTCTGAACAGAGTATCACGTGAGCTAGAATGCACATACAAAATACTGCACAGATGTTACCATTCTAGGCAAGTCTCAAGAATATAAGTTATGCAGTTCCTTGTGGTGTGAAGCCAAATGGTCGAACTACATGGCGTTAATATAGAAATGTGATTTCTGCCATTTTTTCACCTTCAGGAAACAAGAAAAGCCTAGATAAGAAATTAGAAAGTGCAGCCCGTGCTAACTAACAATTTGTGCAACAATTTCTTCTCAACTGGATTCTCATTAAGTCAGCAGTTAGTGAGACTCTACTTTGAAGAAGTTAACAATTGTAGAAAGACAAACTCACTTAAGCTAGGAAACAGGGCCATCCCTACGAACACTCAGATGATGGAGAAGAGCCTTTGGACAAGGTTCTTCCCGGGGGGAGGGGGGGATGAAGAGACCTAAGGAGGATTTCACACTCATCAGCAGACGACAACCGTGAAAAGTGTGGTGTGTGATGGCTTCTTCAATTAGACCAGAGGAAGGGCAGCGTTTTCCCCCACCCTCGGCACCGCTAGAGACGGGGAGCTCTACATGTGCTCACAGGCACACGTATTAAGTAACCAAGATGAGTCCAGAGATTAAATCTGCCTACTCATCGTGATGTAGCTACTGTCCTGGGTGCTTCTGGATTTCCTACTTATCTGGGTTCAGAGATCCGTTGTATCCTTGACTACATGAAGGTATCTTTGTTACCTCCCTAACAAGGTGAGGGCATTTAAAGGAATGTAAAGTTTACCCAACTAAGAGCATAGTATGTCATGAATGTACATGTGTAAACATTATACAACCAAGAACAGAGTACACCATGGATATACGTGTGTAAACTTTAAACCAAGAGCAGAGTGTGTCACAGATATACATGTGTAAATTTTACACAACCAAGAGAAGAATGTGCCATAGACATATGTGTACACCTTTGCATTTGGGAAACTGCATAAAAGCTATTGTGGTCACAAGATGAGGAGGAGAAAACCAGCAACAACAGCTGATCTGCAACTAATTCCACGGGTACCATATCCCCTAAATGAAGAGCTAACATTTTATAGTATGAACTTCTATGATGCTATCAATTCTTTCATATTTTTATTTTAAAATATGTACTCGGAATATTCATTGTCCTGTCACTAATGAGCTGAGCAACTGCAAGCAAGGAACTCAACCTTACTGACCCTCCAAAGAGGGTGGTGGAGAAAAGTTGCTGACTGGGGACAAACCAGCTCTGCAGAGGGGACAGTCACACTCCTGGCCTGCTCTGATGCTCTGACCTCTCCCTATACACTCCTGCGTTCTCCGAGGTCATTCTTACATCTATGCATAGGAATACTGCTAACACTAGCTCTTCTCCACCATCTTTCCAATCTCTTGTTTAAATGGCACCTAAACCATTCAGGTTCTAAACTTCTGGAGCCTCCATGGGATGTCCCTTTTAGATTCAAACCTGCTAAGTGACTCTAACATTAGCCAAGTTCAAAGGACCATTGTGAAGACCAAAAGTAGGAGACTGGAGAGATGGCTCAGCAGTTAAGAGCATTTGTTGCTCCTACAGAGGATCCAAATTTGGTTCCCAGCACCCGTATGGTGGCTCAGAACCATCTGCAAATCTAGTTTCTGGGAATCTGATGACCTCTTCTGGGCTCTGAGAGTACATGCACATGGTACACATACATACATGCAGGCAAACACTCATACACATAAAACTAAAGAAACTAAATATTAAAACCATTAGTCATTAATATATTAAAATAGTTAAAGATTAGAACATAGAAATAAGAAATTAAAGTACCCTAGTGTTTACTAAAATTATACAATGCATGTATGGATTATATAAAATTATTCACAATTACAAATAATATATAAACACATACCACTCTCTCTCACACACACACATACACACACACACACACACACACACACGGTGTAAGAATTACTATAAGATGGGTATTTTGAATGTTAATCAATAATGAAGGTCCAGTTCTTTAAATACATAACAGTCACACGCTAGTGTGCATTTCCCCCTTGCACTTTGATCTTCCACGTGCCTGGCACACATTTCAGCCTTCTGCTTCACACACACTGCGTAACGTTCCAGATAGGTTCAGCTGTGGTTGTTCTTCACGGAGCACTAACATTCTCCTATGGTGCAGATATCATGTGCTCGCCAAAGTACTGATGCATGCTATTTTTCACAATTCTTTTTAAGCGCATGCTCATGCAGGCATGTTCATTTACTGAACACACCCACAGAAAGAAAAGGCTGCTCTCAGGAGCTATCCAGGAACACATTTGCAGAGCATGAGGCAGAGAGGAGAAAGAACTAGGCTATGGACAAGTATGTTTTGAGACCACTGTAGATACTCAGATCTACCCACTACAGAGGAAACCCAGCCATGGAAAACATATGCAATTTGGGTTTATTACGTGTTTTGTTTTGACATGTTTTCTCACTAGTCTAGTCCACCTCTAGCAAAGATAGCAAGTAGACGATGTAACATTCTTTGACCTCTCAATATTTTTGATATGCAAATTAAAGATCTGCCATGGTCCACACATTCTTGTGACTGGGGCTTCAAAGTCGCAATACTGGTCCTAAAGGAGGATCTACTTTTGCACCCGTGGGGCAGAACACAAAAAGAGCTGGGACCTTAATGCATCACACATGAGTGATGAGATGATGCTGACATTAAGAAGAAACATAAAGTGAACAGCTCAGTGGAACATATAAAAAGAACACGGTGTGGAGAATCAGAGCTAAATGTGCACCCAAAGTTACTTCTGTCTACCTAAAGAGCCACTCATTGGCCTGCCTTAGAACTACCAATCAAGGCTTCCTGCTAGCCCTGGGCAATATTGAATCAAACTAAATGAGAAAGTTATCCGTGTAAGAAATTTAAACTCAAATCAGGGTCGGTGACACTAATCTTCTAATCGCAAGGGTGGGATGTCCCCTGCAACACCTGGATACAATATAGAATTCTGTAAACACTTTCCCAGAGCAAAGCTCTCCCCATCCCACCGGAGTACACATAACATCACTGCAAAGCACAGCAATAGCAGAAACCATCTCCCAATTTTTATCCCAAAGTGACTGAATGTCAAAATGGTCTTAATGAAGGAAGAAATCAATATCTTCACATCTCAATTCTTTAACAAGCCAATCCGCAGCTCCAGAAGTCATGAAATGAACACATCTTATCTGTTAGCCCCTCACCCCCAGCCTGCCAGACTCCAAGTGAAACCTATGTGTCTGTCTTACCTGTAATCTGACTCTGTCCTTGTGGATTAAAAGGACTTGGTGCAGAGTTCAGGGAGGGCCGTGGGTTCTGAGGCGGGACACCTACTCTCATACTGGGATGAGGAATGCGCCCTAAATCACTGAGGCGGTCAGAGAACAAACTAGGTTTAGAGTCATCAAGCTTCTGTCTGTGCCCTGGAAACAGCAAATCATAAAATAAAAGCATATTAATTAGCTGAACAATTGACCATGCTGAATAGATATGTGAACATACATACTGGGTAGGGTAAGCCAAGGAATTATCAATACTGATATCTATTATGATGTGTCTATGCAAGCTGCTCTTTGGGCATTGTGGGGTGGTGAGCCTTCCTAATTCTAGCGGTATAGAGAGAACAGAGGGTCCCAAGGATGACGTGGAGTCAAGAGCTCAAGAGGAACTCTCTGGGTGCCCCCTGGCCCTGTCAATAAAAAGATGAGAAAAATGAGTGTTCTCTAGGTCACCTTTCTAATTTCATGATGGGGGTTCCCCATCTGAAAGCTCAGGGGGTCTGCTACACTGTCACCAACCTTGGGCAGAGTCAGGGGCAAACACATTTTTTGAAGACCAATTTCCATAGTGGCTACAGTGACTTTTCTTTCTTATGCTACAGCTACGTACCTACCCTTGCAGAAAAAAAATAAAACTCAAAAGGGAAAACAGAAAAGAAAGGAAGAGAAAAGAGAAGAAAGCAGGAAAGGAGGGAATGGGAAGAAGAAGGGCAGAGACAGAACATAAGCAAAGAAAATCGAATTGTCAAAGCAGAGTTGCGTATTGTGAGATGTGCCGAAGCCCCAGAACATGCAATGAACCCTGGTAAGTCACACAGAATATGTTCCATTTTAAATACACTACTGTAGTTTTATGAGGAAATGGAAAATACTGGTGGCTAAATAGGTGAATGTGACCACACATTATGAGAGAGAGAGAGAGAGAGAGAGAGAGAGAGAGAGAGAGAGAGAGAGCACTTTTCTGGTTTATTTAAGTTGTAAAGCAACAAAAAACTGAGTGTTAAAGAAACGTGCAAATTAAAACAGATGCACTGAAACACTGAAACATCTTCAAAAATCACCAACTCATCCATTCGAAGGAATGTAGTAGTGTCGTGACCCAGGGACAGAGCATGGCTGTGCACCTAATTTGAGAGCAGAGCTTTGGATGCTAGGAAGCCCCTATCTGCTGCTCAGCATTCTGGAACGCATGAGCAAGCAGCTGGTGCGAGAAACGTCATTGGAACAAAGGCTAGATGAAAAAATGCATCCGCTAGCAAAACTGAGGGAATTTGTATTATTACTCATCAAAAAAAAAAAAAAAACACTGAATGTGTATTGTTAATAACCTGGGGAATGGGTGTCTGCCACCACTCTAAGTGCTGGGACATTTTACCTCCCCCTTCACACGGGGCAAGGGGAATAAATGTATCAGGAGAGGGTTAAGTTGAACATTAGAATTCCCCAACTATAAGCTGTCTTCATAAGACAAATTCCTTATTTTATTTGCCCCAAAATGTATTTTCCTGTCTCCCTTTTCATTGCCTACCCAGCCCAAAGAAAACAGACAGGAAGCCAAGGCTTGGTAATATGAGTGTAGCTGTCTCCACAGCCAAACATGTTCCAACTGAGCCCATTAACTGAAATGTACCCACCACCCTATTTCCTGCCAGTGTGTGTTTTGGGCATTGGCTGTAACAGAAGGACTAAACCTAGTTGAAAACATGATCAGGAAAAAAAACAAAGGAAATCCGTTGTTAATTGTTGTTTCCCCCCACTTTATACAGATCACAAATAGATTTTAGAAACGTAAGGGTTTTTAGAGGTGACCTGAAACAGCCCCTAGACCCCAGCTAATAGCTCGTGCACAGATGAAGAGGCCGAGACCGGCTCAGGCAGGGTAACAAGGTCATGGCCCTCCATTATTGGCTAGCTTGGCAAGGCTGAGGCTCCAGCCCTAACTGTATGAGGCAAGCTTTCTATTCATCATGAGGGACCAGCAATGTTGGCTTCCTACCTTCCTCCTTGAGTTGTCTCTAGTGACTCAAAGTGCCTAAAACACTTAAGAAGTCAGCCCATGAAGTATCAAGACTAGTTTTCAACATAAGTAGCAAGAGTGGTCAATTACAAAAATAACTTATTCGTTACCAAAAATAAATGGCTGTAGCTTAAATACTGAACTTCTATCCGTACAGCTCTCTGGGTCTAGCTAATTTCACAATAGAATTATTATATAAATACTTGTCACAGTCAGATTCATATAATCTCTCTGTCCCTGTCTCCTCTCCCATCTATAATTTTTGACACAGCAATAAATGCTTATGGAATTGTTTGGTAAGTTATTTTTTAATGAGCCACTGTTTGGAGTGGTGAATTCCCTGAAGGTTGTGAGAAGGCTGTGTGATCTCCCACAGACACTTGTACACTGGGACGTGAGTTCAGTGTGTGCAGGTGTGGGCACATTTTTATTTACTATTAGCCTAACATTATGCCGAATGCTTGCCTAACGCAGGCAAGAGGAAAGGGCTTTGAATAGCCCTTTGATGTGAAAATTTCTAAGAAGCAAGAAAAACTTTTAAGTTTCAGTGACTTTTCAGAATCATCCTCAAAGACAGCAGCTACCATGAATCCACAGACAACCTAGAATAATCTATAGAGCTTCTAACAGAAGATGCCAATATATAAAAGCATTTATATGTAAAATGCATTTTCCTTGTGTTTCTTTACCCTCTCCTAGCAGCCGCCACAACTAAAACAAGATTCTTACAGCACAATGCCAAGCAAAAGCCAAACAGGTTCTTCATCTTTCAACCATGACAAATAGCGGCCGCCGCTAAACCACATCAGGGTGTACTCCAGTGATGGACGAAAGATGTGCTGGAATCATCGGCACCCGGGCGATCCTTTCAGACACTCAGAACACAGGGGACAAAGGAGTCACAGACTCAGACAAGGACAGAGTAATTGGTCGTGTTGTCTGGAGGACTGAGTGTCACTCATCCCCAAGGAGAAGCTGTTCCAAGCGAGAGGCAGACACAAAGAGTGGGCAGCTCTTAGACAGCTGCTCTAGGCGAAAGACTAGGAACTGGAGCGGGGGGGGGGGGGGGGGGGGGGCTTAGCTCAGCAGATAAAGCACCTACCTGCCATGCAAGCATTGGGACCAGAGTTCAGATCCCAGAACCTAGGAGTGTGGGTGAGCATGAGGGACCACAGAGTTCTAGCATTCAAAAAGCATGGACAAGAGATCTCTGGAGCAAACTGGCTAGCAAGACTACCCTATACCCGTGAGCTCTGGATTCAGGTGGGAGACCCTGCTTCAGTGCATTAGGTGGACAGCAACTGAAGAAGAATCCTGACATCAACCTCAGACCTCCACATGGATACACACAGAGAGACACACAAGAGCACACACATGTACACACACATGAAAACTGATCTGCACAGCTCATTCAAATCACACACATATATGGGGGGCACTATATAAAAGCATGGTCCTGGAACCTCTCATCTAGCTGAATCTTCTCCTGACGGAAGTCATCCTTCCAGACTGGCAGAATAGGAAAAGGCTCCCTCAAGCTCTGAATTATATGGGCATCCAGATCCCAGAGTGGGTTAAATTAAACTCTTAGGGTAGGTTATGGAGGAAAGTTGCCTTTTTTTTAAAGCCTCGCATGCTTTAATATGCGGGCAGGGCTGAAAAAAACCACTACTCAAGATAGTCCGAGATCCAGCACGAATGCTAGCCATCCACACCAATGATTTCTCCATTTCCAGACGGAGCCCTGTCTTCGGTCCTGAGTTCCAGGTTTCTATCTCCCATTGCGTCCTTGGCAGATGCCCGGGGATGTATCATGGTATCTTAAATGCAGCACACTCAAAACAGAATTCTTGGGTCTCTCTCCAAAGCATCCTATTGCTTCGATGGAATGCCTAATATCAATGGCTATCACTGGCCACTCGCTTGCCGGCAGTCAAGAACGGAGATATTCTCCTTGGTCCTCACTCCCCACATGGAGTCCACCATCACGTCCTGGCCTTTCTGTCTTGAGACTCCATCTCCTATCTACTCAGTTCCCTTCATTTCTCCCGGCACAACCCTAGCCTCAGTGCCTACCTAACTCTCTCTGAGTATCTGGCATTGTCTGCTTTGAAATTTCCCATATGCCTGAGATAAAAATCTTCTTGGTTTTTCTGTATGGCCCCCTCCTTCTTGCTTAGGTCTAGCATGAATCCCACCTCCTTTGAGAGGCCTGGCCTGCTTCCAATAACCAAAATATGTTCCCACCCTCTTGAGCACAGCCTTTCTTTATTTCCTTTGTGGCAGTTGTCACAATCTGTAATTATCTTGTATATTTATTTGCCCCTCCGCAGAGATTCCACATCCCATGAGAATGAGTGCCCTGTCCCTTGGGTACAGCTGGATTCTCACAATCTAGTCGGTGCCTGCCATACAGTAGGTATTCAATGAATATTTATGAAAGCAAAGAAAATATGAAGATGAGAAATGCCTTGATTCGGAGAAAATTTACTGGTACAGGGTATCATATTACAACACTATCCCTAAAAAAAAAAAAAAAAAATGCATCGTAGTTTTCTGCAGTGTAATGAAGCCAGTAGGTAAAGCCTTTATTTAGAAACAGTTCCACTTGGTGCTTCCTGGAAAACTAGACTAATGGGCATAAATTTAGACTAAAGCTCATTTGCTCTTTGAAAAAAAATCCCATTTTTCTCACTGTAATATTTAAGCTTTGTTAAAAACCATTTAGAATTGGGGTGATTAAAAGGGTAACAGATGTAAGCTGGACTCTACATTTTGAAGCGGTGCACTTGTTTGATGGGTGAGGACCCCGAGTCCCCATGAGAGAACATGCTTTCTCAAAGTCACATGGTTAGTGGGGGGACTAACGCTTGGATTTCCTGGTCACTGGTCCAATGTTCTTTCCTCTCCCATGGCTGGCCAGCTTATTTGAGGACATAACAGTAAGGCAGAGCTCGTTCAGGGGAAATCGTGACCAAAAAAAAAAAAAAAAAATGAGTTTTAAATGGAAACGAAAAACGGAGTAGTTTTTCAGAAAAAAAATCTCTTTCAGAAAGTCCCAGCTTGCGTGGGTGAATATGACTTTTGTTGTAATAAATTCAGGGGCACAAGAAGAAATCATGAGTAA